ATATATCAGTTTTTTAGTTACTGACTGTTAATTTGGTGTGGTAGTAACTGAGAGTCATCCCCAATTTAATAATCTAAGCACTTACAGATCACTCAGTTCTGTCTGTTTTCAAAATATTTCATAAACTGCTGAATTAGTTTTAATTGAATTTTTAAATGTAATCCCTGGTTGTATCTACAACTGATTAACTTTTGGAGTCGACCTATTTTAAAATGTCTGCCACAGTCAACTGGTCATTGTATGGTTTAACTCAGAAAAATTTTCAGATACCAAGTTAAAATTTGGTGTGGCAGTAGCTGAGTGTTATCCTTAACACGTTACATTTGCAAGGTTTAACCAAATAGGCTGTGATTCTGTTTCTCCTCCTCATAAGATGATCCCATATCTGTAGCATGAAAGGCAGCAGACAATATGCAGTCCTTCAAGGAACACAAAGCCTTTATTTATACCTTTATAGTGAAAGCTCAACTCCACATATATTGTCATTTTATCAGCTTTTATAATGCATATACAGAAACACTGTACACACTTCAGCTTGAAATTCAACACACATTTGTCTTATTGATGACAGCATCCCTGCTTGCTGCCTGTAGACTGCGTGAGAGCTGAAGCTGCAAACCTTCTGCTGCAGCTGCTTTGCTTTAAAGGCATTAAACTGGCAGCAGCGAGTGGGTTTTATTGGGTACCAGCCACTTGAAACAAAATGTTCACTATGTTCAATTTGCTAACCACAATTGTTCATCAAGAGCAACAACTTTAAAACATGATATTTATTTGTTGTTTTATATTAAAGTATTATTTAAAGTATATTAAAGTTTTATATTTAAAGTAGAAAGATCATTTTGGAAGGGACGCTGTTGTATAAATTCATAGATTCTCCTCCACGTGGTGGAAACAGTGGCGTTTCCAACATTTGTCAAAAACTGGCTCCACTGCATGTGACTCCTGCTCCACACTTGTCAAAAGACTTTGCTAAATAAAATCAATAAGGCACATGAGGTTGTTTGCGGTGTTTCAGATATGTAATGCACCCCTGACAGCTAGCCTCATCTGGTGTGAAGAGAGAAACGTCAGGAGCAGATTTCTTGCGGCTTTAATTATTTAAAGTAATTTAAGCAGCAGCCACAACAAGCCTCGGCAATGAAACGGTTTGCTCTGCTTATTATTGACCTCGTTTTTAATAAAACATGAGCAGTGTAAACAGAAGAGTAGCTCCTCTTGAGCGGAGACAACTGTTAAATAAGTGCCTCTTCTAACATCAAACCACCTACTGGTGTGAGATTTCACAGCATTAGCAAGGGAAATTCTGACTTCAGCAGTTTAAACTTTAAATCTGAGTTAACTTATCCAAAAACTTGGAAATGAGGTTCTTTGAATTTTGTTTAACTCCTTCCTTTCATCCCATTCCCCTCCTGACTTCTCTGACAGCCTGGATGTATCGATCGCTGCTTTTTATCTCTGCCTCACTCTTCCACATTTGCAATCTGAACACACGCCCGTACCCCAAAAGATCTTGAACGTACACAGAATCTCCACTCACCACTCTAGGCCGAAGATGCCGTAGAAGAGCGTGTCCCGTGGGGTGAGGCCGGGCATGACGAACACGCTGCGCAGCATGTTGAAGTGGAAGTCGTACTCGGGCAGAGAGCAGGTCAGCCTGGACTTGAGGAAGGACGTCCAACGTTTCTGGAGGGTTAAATGGCCTCCTCTGTCTCCCTAAGAGGAAGTAAGGAGGATAAAATCAGAGTTATATGAGTTGAAGACATTCCTCGAATTAATGCTTATCCCCACCACCACCACCACAGAGGCTTGAATATAATAATGGGATTACAGAAACAACTCTAAAATGGTTTAAATCTTATTTATCTGATAGATTCCAGTTTGTAAATATAAATAATGAATCTTCTTAAAACCAAAGTTAGTCATGGAGTTCCTCAGGGCTCAGTGGTTGGACCAATACTCTACTTTATATATGCTTCCATTAGGTAAAGCTATTAAACATCATGGGATACATTTTCATTGTTATGCTGATGATACACATTAAAAAAATCTTCAGCTGATCCAAAATGCTGCTGCCAGAGTTTTAATGAGAGTTGATAGGAGAGACCACATCTCTCCAGTTTTAGCTTCTCTCCATTGGCTCCCTGTCAAATTCTGAATAAAATTCAAAATCTTACTTCTAACCTACAAAGCTCTCAACAATTTAGCTCCATCTTATATTACAGATCTTATTGTTTTATATTTTCCTAACAGAGCACTTCGCTCTCAGACTGCAGGTTTACTTGCGATTCCTAGAGTTTCCAAAAACAGAATGAGGGGCAGAGCTTTCACTTATCAGGCTCCTATCATGTGGAACCAACTTCCAGTTTCTGCCTGTGAGGCTGACACATCGTCCAGTTTTAAGACTAGGATTAAAAACATATTACATATTACTTAAGACTTTCCTTTTTGCAAAATCCTATAGTTAAGGTTGGCTTGGGTTTCCTGAGCTATCCCTTAGTTATGCTGCAATAGGCTTAGACTGCTGGAGGACAAACTGACTACATTTCTTCACTATGCTTACTGTCTTTACTTACTCTGCTCAACCCGTTTTGTATTTGTAATTATTTTTTCTATCCTTAAAATGTGTTTTTGTCTTTCAGGTACACCGGCACCTACATCTGGACCTGCCATTCTGTGTTTGTCTCTCCTTCCTGTTCTCTTAAACCCAGCCAGTCAAAGCAGATGGTCGCTTGTCCTGAGCCTGGTTCTGCTGGAGGTTTCTTCCTGTTAAAAGGGAGTTTTTCCTTTCCACTGTTGCCAGTGTGCTTGCTCAGGATAGGAGACTGCGACAAAGTGAAGATTCAACTTGTCTGCTGGCTTCCTTAGATAAACAACTTTACTAATTGGCTCTTTTATGTATGTGAATGTTCCTGCAAAGTGCCCTGAGACAACTTTGTTGTGAACCGGCGCTATATAAATAAACTGAATTGAATTAAATTAAATTTATGCCAGAGTTTTATATAAAGATCAACTTGTGTTGAGAAATGACTAAATGGTTAGGCAAAGGTGACACAGAATAGAATGTGTAGCTACTAAGAAGCAAAGCAGATGAATGAGAAAAGAAAAATATTACATATTAAACAGAATTATAGTCTCTTGTAGACATGATTCACCACTGTAGGTGTGAGATGTGACAGCTCATTCATTCATGTCAACAAGAATATTGTTTTTTATTTTAAGCTGAATCCAGTCAGTGACAAATTACAAACATCACACAAGACACCTCAAGGCATCTTATTAAAATCCCAAAAGATAAATTTCTCTACTTTTTAAGAAATAGATTGTGAGCTTTTTTCACTTTAGAACACCAGAGGACATAAACAAGGTTATATCAGCATACAGCTGGCTCTTGCTAGTCATGATTTCTTCTGGGGGAGGAGGGAATGGTAATCATTCATGTTTTAGGCAGAAAAAGATGCTAAACAATCCGTCACACCTATAGCCACCCACTCTCATCAACGTAGGCCTCACTGACTCTGCAATCAATTCACCAGCTACACAGTCTGCTCCTTTAATTACACAGAGGTCACGCTCCACATTTATCTCCCATCCAGACTCTCATTTGTTACTTTAACTAAAAGCTCCACACATGCTAATCTGATGGAAGGCACCTCCCGTGTTTTCTGCACTCACCTTACAAACCCGGGCTACTCGTGCCACCCTGCTGTGGCTGTAAGTCGTACTCTGCTCCTGGCTCTTCTCGGTGAAGAAGAAGTAGATCGTGTCATCGTTTCCAGCGCTGCTGCCCAAACCCTCCCTCACCAGAGCCGAACCCACAAAGTCTGCCTCTGCAAGGCCGAAGAAATGAATCGACTCACGCTGTGACTTCTTCGGATTAAACAAAAGGTGCTAAAGTGCTTTTGATTCTCAGAATATCGCCTCACCATTCAGCCAGCGTGTGGGGGCGTCCTCCGTCTTCAGGGTGGGAGCTGGAGAGTTACGGCGAATATCAGGAAAGTTCCAGAACTCATACTGGGAAGCTGTGTATAACTGCTGGTCTGAAGGGGGGGAGAGCGATGCACTTATAGATTTGAAGATAAATCTATGATTTAACTGAACAGGTTTAGGTGGCTTACCTATAATAAGAGCGGTGTAACCTGTTGTTGACCTATAAGGGCACCTGTCTTTACCTTCTTCAGGCTGAGATGACATAACAAATTTCTTCTCATCCTGAGCAGAACACAAAACAAAAGCACCCGCTGAGCATGCTGCACTTACCCTGCTGCTCAGAATGAAGAGGCATTTGTGGACCTACTATGTATGCACAGAGGGGTGTGAAGGCATGAGTCCCACACATGTAGAGATGAGAAGAGTTAAATCTTTGGAGGAGGCGGATGTGATTAAAACACTCTGTCTGAAATAGGAAGAGGAAAATATGCTTCATTAAACTAGGAAATAAATAATAACTCGCACATAAGCCAACACATTGAAGTTCATATTATCCTTACCAGAACCTACAATTAGGTAAATATATTCTCAGACAGACAGTACACTTTACATTGTGCAAATATTTTATTTCTCTTTTCTTTTGGTTGATTTGGCACTGTACTGTGGATCATTGCCTCATGATTGGATTTAATGGACCTCCCAGTGGACTTTAAGTGATCCACAAAGGAGTTCATGGTTGACTTAGTGACAGTCTGATGTTAGGGTAAACTTGCTGGTGTTTTATTTTAACTTTGAAAAAAGTTTTCCTTCATTTCTGAACAATAGAAGTGATCTATTTTTAACTTTCATTGTGTTATCTAAGCATTGTACAATGGCAAACCAACAAACTATAAAAACCTCAGCTGTTTTGCACCTGCAAATAATCAGTTTATCAAGTTAATTTGATCAACAGTACCTGGATGCTACTTACCCTTTTAATTCCTACAGAAGCATTGAGAGCATCTGCATAATTATTTATACATAGTTTTTGATTTTGGTTGGGTTTTTAATACATAAATGGAAGGTGTATTTATTCCACATATTGCTGTTTATCTGACTTTGTTTTAATCTCATTTTAAGACTTTGAAAAGACCAGATGAACAACAAAAAAAAACTAAGAAAGAGCTGAACTTTTAACAAGACTAAAAACAGAGTCAAACATTACGCAAAGAAAGAGCTGACTGAAAGAACGAATAAAGGCCTACCTTATCGTCTTTTCCCTTGACCTTGCATTCTCGTTTTTGCTCGATGGAGGCCTCCCACTCGATCTATAAAACACCAAGCAGCAGTAAGAAAGAATCTGAGTCGGATTCTTTCACATCCCTAAGTTGTGCAAAATGTGTTAGTCAGTCATTTAGCATGATAGTGACTGAACTTATTGTGTTGTTGAACAGAGAAATGTGCTGTTTTCCCAACACTTGCTCAACAATGACTCAGCAAAGCTTAAAACAAACTTTCAGGATTTATTTCCTTAATATTACTGGTATTACAGCTAGATTTCTGACAGACCGCAGCCTTAAAGCTACCTGCTTCGTCAGCAGTTCAAACATTTCTGAGGCTTTGATTAGACATCTAAAGTTCAAACAGTTGGATAAATATAAGTTTACTCAACGAACTTGGACTCCAGTTCTGTCAAATCAACACGTTTGGGAACTTTTAGAAGAAGAATAAATCCGTTTCTGGAAGGACTTCAGTAAAACCAGACAAATTGCTGTTTCACTGATCTCATATGCATGTGAGTCAAGCTCCCTTGGAGATGCTGACCGCAAAGGAGACAAGCAAGCACACCGTTTTATGTGATTTTCAAGATTTATTTAAAAAGGAAATATAGTGCAAGAGCTCTGATCATAGATACCAACACATTGATATTGATTTGAACAGACCTATAGTCTGTAGACTGCTGAAGGAAAGTATTGATGCTCAGTCTTAAATGTCATGGATCAGCATTAAAGGCAAAACCGCTAATAGGGCTGGACAATAATTCGATATCGATATATATCACAATATACTTTTATTCAATAATGGCGATACGAGTTTTAAGCACATTTTCGATATTTTGATATATGTTACAATAAGATAACAGCGTTTCACTGATGCATTTCTTTTTCTGTTCGGGTTGAAGCGGCCGCTTCAGTTTCAACCCGAACAAAAAAGCTGCGACACAAATACGCAAGTGTGACGTACATCACAGCTCGAAGGAGCAGGCTAAGCTAAGCTCCAACACATGGTGTTTGCTTCAAAACGAGCGCCCATGACCATCAGAATGTGACTAAACAAGCTTTCACCAGCGAAGAGAAAGCAGATGACATAACTGATAAGAGAGGAAAGACAAATTTGGCGGTGTGGAAGTGGTTTGGCCATCTAAGATCTGATAAACTGCAGGTTTCAGTGTGCTGCAAAATGTGCCGGAGAGTCGTTCCAACTAGCGGAGGTACACATATAACTTGTTCCACGTTTTCACTCGATAGAATGGAACCATGAACAGGCTGAGAGTCAGAAGATGAAACACAATAAAAGTCTGAGCCAACGTTTCCCTGAAACAACACCCCCAGCTGTATCAAAAGAGAAACCCATGCAGCAAACGTCTTATGTTGTTGTTTAAAGTTAAAACTATTAATATTGACAAAGTTGAGAGTTTTATGTTTATTTGATGGTGATTTCAATTTTTTTGAAGGCTAAATACAAATAAAAGGTGAACATTAATTTATTTGTACAGTTTGTACAGTTCTTCTTAGGCTTTTATATAGTTTATATCGATACCGGAATTATATCGTTATCGACCGAAATTAAGGAATATATCGTGATAAAAGTTTTGGCCATATTGTCCAGCCCTAGCTAATCCCAACCAATGACGATTAAAACTGTAAAGCAGGTAATATGAAATGCTTTAGTATCTCACTGGAGAGTAATTGGCAACTACAAATAAAAAAAAAAAGGTTAATTTCCGACTGCAGTCTCATTGAGTTCTGAGTATTTGTGACAAGCGAGCCTTCTTGTGGCTGCGTTGCAAAAATCACAGCCTGTTTTTATGTGCACAAATTGGAAAACTGTATTTTTTGCCGTGGACATTATTTCATCGCCCCCTTCCACCCACCTCGTAGGATACCAGCCTGGGTCCGCTATGCAACCATCATGGCAGCCGCCCCCACCTTTATAATTTAATCCAATGGAGTACACATTTGATATGAAAATAGGCAAATATGGTTCAAGACCGGTTCGAGATGTCATATTCTGTGTCTATTTTCAAATAAAGTTAAAAGACAAGGTGAGGGGGCAGCATGGTGGCGCAACTGGTAGAGCTGCTGCCTCTCAGCGAGCAGGTCCTTGGTTCAAACCCCGGTCCAGGGGCCTTTCTGGGTGGAGTTTGCATGTTCTCTCCGTGCATGCGTGGGTTTTCTCCGGGTGCTCCGGTTTCCTCCCACAGACCAAAAACATGCATGTTAGGCAGATTGGTAACTCTAAATTGTCCCTAGGTGTGAGTGAGAGAGTGAATGGTTGTTTGTCTCGTTTGTCTCTATGTGTCCCTGTGATGGACTTGCGACCCGTCCAGGGTGTACCCCGCCCCTCGCACAGTGATTGCTGGACATGGGCACCAGCGACCCCCGTGACACAAAATGGAATAAACGGGTAAAGATAATGGATGGATGGATGGATGGATGGACAAGATGAGGGCTGCGGTAGCTTGGTGGCCCTGTCATCCTGAGGCTGCAGGTTGTGTTTAATGTTTTGTGTGACGTTCGCTCATTGTGGTGACTCCTGATGAGGGGAGCAGCCAACACAAATACATTCTGAGAGAGAATCTGTTGCACTTATTTAAAAAATATGTTTAAAAAGATAAAACAGAGCCTGTGCTTTTAAGAGCTATCATAAGAAAGAAAAATATTTGACCTAAACACAAGTTGAGATAAACATGTTAAAATTTATATATTTTCAGACCATTTTAAAGCTTACTATTAAATGATATATACTGACAACACCATGACTGAGGTTCACATCCTGCAATTTACTGTATATTTTATCCGTTTACATCCTGGATGACATGACTCCTGCATCCATTTTTTGTAAATACAATAAACCATAGCTGGATTTTATTTTATCGACTCACTGACTCGTGCAACAAACATACCATCTAACTGTGAATTCTTGAGTAAAAATACGACTACAAGCGTACACAAATAACACACAAAAGATGACAGCAGATTCCTGATTTGATGTAAATTAAGCTGTGGCAGAGTTAAAGATACATGGAAGCCGAGGTGCACAACATGCACAGAGACAAAAACAAAAACTCACAGTCAGAGCAGAGCTGGCTGAGATGTCAGAGGCACTGAGAGCGAATACAGCCCCCCGGGCCCCGACGTAGAGGCGCTCGCTGTCAGCCTCCAACAGCAGAGTGCTGTAGTTGACTGCAGAGGACTGAAAACGCTTGCAGCGCCGAAGACCTGAGGAGGCGAAAGAAAAGGAGAGGGGAGGTCGTTAATTAACGTGAGGTTTTTTTGTAATCCTCTTGATACTTCTGCAAGAATTATGAATGTAAAACAGCTCCTAATGTCCTTCAAAGAAATACATCACAGACATCTTTATGACACTCATGCTCAGGCCAAATCAGCAGTTATATCCAGAATAACTAGTCTTTTAAATGAAGTTCTTAGACTTTTAGAGATTATACACATGATAGACAGAGGCTGTTTGTCCTTCCCAACATATTTCAACAGTACATCCCCTGTGTGACATCAGACAATAACAAGGGATAACCCCCCCACAATATTACTAACTGAGCTACACAAACACTTTCCACTTCAGTTATGATTCTACTTAGTCAGTCTCTGTGGGAACTAATAAAGGTTTAAAAAGAAAAACACAGACAAAAGTATCTTCTGTTATTACATTTTCATGTTAACACAATTGTATTGTATTCACTGGATTTAAATATAAGCAACATTATCTTTTAAAGTGCAGTTTAAAGAAAAATAAACACATTAATGGTACTTTTGTACAGTAATACATCTCACTGTCTCGCTAAAAGAAAAACCAAAGCAGAGGAGCAGCTTATTAGTTTGGAGAGCGAGAGCTTTTATTATCAGACCTGACAATATAAGAATAAAAAATAAAATAGAATTTCATCTCTGATGATGGATTTTTCACCGCATGACTTTTGAATGTTGGTACAAAGCAGAGAGAGGGATTTATTATTTGATTCTGAAGCACTTCTTTTACAATCTGAAACACAGTTTTAGCCTTCTAGAGAAAATTTATTTAAAAAGAAAAACCTCATTGTGTTAAAGTGGCACAAAAAACCTCACACAGTTTTGCAATTACCATATACCAGACACACATATTGCAAATTCAATTAAAAAAAGCTTTATAATACAACTATTTTTCTTTGAATTAATGCGTATCGCCTGCCACCTTCTGTGTCAAATTTTTAAATAAAAACTTTGATTGAATCATTAGCGTGTAATGTGTTGGAGTTGACTCTCACCATGTTAAATAGCAGCTCAATTGGTTCATGAAATATTCTGCTAACAGACAAACTTGTGCACATACAGACACATGCTATTACATTACTGCCTGTCTTTGATGGCAGCAGGCAACAAAAATATTTTGTCATGCACATTTTACTAAGAAGAGTTTTTGCTTCGATTTGTTGATTGGTGTAATATTGATACACTTGGCTAATGCTTTTTCTTCTCTTCTCACCAAAACAGCTAAAATAATCTGTCCATTTTTTGCAGCCATGAACAAAAGATCTAATTTAATTATTTGCAAAAATTGAGACCAACCTCCCTTTTGCAACATAAATGCATAAACAATAAACAGGAAAGCATCAGATTACTATGGTGGCTCTGAGGTGTAAATCAACAACATTTGAAAAAACAGAATTACATTAAGTTAATGCAGAAGTGGCCAAAGCAGAAGTGGCTGAAGCAGAAGTGGCCGAAGCAGAAGTGGCTGGAATAACATTTGAAAAAAGAAAAAGAAAAAAACGAAATCACATTTGAAAAAAATGAATTACATTTGAAAAAAACTGAATTACATTTGAAAAAAACTGAATTACATTTGAAAAAAAACTGAATTACATTTGAAAAAACAGAATTACATTAAGCCAAAGAGGAAGTGGCCAAAGCGGTAGTGGCCCAAACGGAAGTGGCCGGAATCACATTTGACAAAAAAAAAGTAAAAAAAAAAAAAAAAAACGAAATTACATTTGAAAAAAACTGAATTACATTTGAAAAAAAACAGAATTAATTTGAAAAAGAGAAATATATTAAGCCAAAGTGGAAATGGCCGGAATCACATGTGGAAAAAACAAAATAACATTTGAAAGAAAAACGGAATTACATTAAGCCAAATCACCTCAGGGCCACTATAGTTTTATGTTAATAAAATTTGTTTTAAAAATGCTACCCCCCCCCCCCCCCCCCCCCCCCCCCCCCCTTCTGGTTTGACTTAATGTAATTCTGTTTTTTCAATGTTGTGTTTTTGTTGCATTTTTTTCAAATGTAATTCTGTTTTTTTCTAATGTTGTTCATTTACACCTCAGGGCCACTGTAGATAACACATTTGAACTAGAAATCAGTGTCATTCATGGTGTACAAAAAAATTGAAGGCTGGCCACATTTCAGTCTCTCCCATTCTGTTTTTTGAACCTTGGCTCTTTGGTCTTCAGTCTCCTCCTGTCCTCTACATCTTCCTCTGACAAGCGAAGCACCTGCATATCCTCCCTTGCAGCTCATTTAGATTTTTTTTTCTTTTCCTCTTGCCTGATTGGCAGCTCCATCTTCTACATCCTTCTCTAAACATACCAAGCATCTCCTTCTGCCGTGTCCAAACTAACTCAATCTATCTTGTCTCGTTATTTTGTTCCCTCAATCCTGGTAGTCTCTCCTGATCCTGTCCTTATTTGTTACTCTAAACACAAAGATCAGCATTTTCACAGTTTTTATTTTTGTTTTGTGACCACACCATAAACATCTCCACGATGGGCAGTAAAAAAGTGGTAGTTATCCTGTAAATCTTTGTTGAAGAACAGGGAGCCATAAAATACACATAAAACACTCCTTATTGCTTCTTTCTGTGGATTTTTGTGGTTTGACGGTCGTTGTTGTGTTCATACACCACCTTTCCAGTTTCCCAGCTATACTGGAAGGTATCTGACAGGTCAAGACACTGATACAGTTAAGTCACATTCAGCAAATTACACACACACACACAAATGCACACTAACAATTCAAAGTTGCTTGCAGCAGTTATGTAAGTTCTAAACTTATAATCTATCAGGATCCCAGTAGCTTGGGCAAACATGACACCAGTGTCAATACACACAGGCAGGGGATAACTGGACCTATTTTACAGCCGCAGCAATGCACGCACAAGCCTGCAATGATGCACAGCTGAGTTAAAGTCTAATGAGAATCCCTGCGATGAATGATGCTGAACAGGTTTTACCAAGCAGTGTAAGTCTGACAGCAATTAAGTCGTATAAACGTAAAAGTGAGCCACTTTTCATACCTGTCAGGGAGAACTGTGAGCCAAAAGGAAAATGTGTCATACTTCCACCCTCTGTAGCCAATCCACTTCCCGCTGAATGTTGCTTATTATCAAGTGAACTGTATTTAAGATTCCTGTCAGCTGCTGTAAAACACAATGCTCTTGTTCCTGTTGAGCAGCAGCAGAGGTGCTCAGTTCTCAGCCCGAGCTGATCCTGGGTCTCCAGATGTCGACTTTTGTTCTTTTTTCTCAACAGAAAGAAAAGGAGTTCCAGCTCCATGGGGTTTGCTACAACAAGAACAACTACACAATATAAGGGTCTCCATATGAGAGATTACATATTTAAAACAAAATCAAATCCTACATATCCTCTGAGCATTTAGACTCACAATGCTTTATAGATGTGTGTGTGTGTGTGTGTGTGAGGGACAGAAGGATTTTTTTTGTTGTATTTCAAGGAATTTCCCAAAGCACATTTTAGCTTACAAAATTGTGCAAAACAAAAATAAACAAAGAAGTCACGTATGAGTAGGAAAGAAAAAAAAGTTTGTGCGAGTCACTGTGAACAGTTCAAATGAAATTATTTACTAAGCAAACACTTGCAGGGACCTCAGCTGATCAACACGGTACACAGTGTTCAGGGACGCACGCACGCACACACACACACACACACACGCACACACACACTTCCACTAACCCTTCAGGCATTGGACTGTGATGTGACAGCAAGACATCTGTACATGCTCCAACTAACGTTAGGCATGCTTACAGTTCATTTTTATGACGTGTGAATGAAATTTGAATCTGCCGAATGTCAATCTGGCTCAAATTCTCACAAAACTTGACAGGTTGAAATAAGAGGAGCAAATATTTTCACATTGTTCTGTTTAACAACCATGTCTGGTTATAGCCAGGTTCTAGCTTAAAAGCTGCTCTAAAGCCACACACTAAATTCATTTAGTTCAATAATTGTGCAAACTCATTTTCTGGCATATTGTTTTCTCATAGTTTAAAGACAAAAAAGCAAAAGTTGCAGTGTGGTGCATGCATGTGTAATTCATCTGCCCACTCAGGTTGGGAGGCTTTGTTTTAAGGTTGCGAGGAGTGGGGGTGGGGAAGATTAAAGGAATTCAAAGTAAGTTTGCATATCAAAATCTTCTTGCCAGGAAGAAGGAAGCATTAAAAAAGAGATCAGAAAGATAATATAGCAAAGAGAGGGCAGTGCAACCATAAAAAGTACTAATGAGGAACAGAAAAGTAAGTTGGAGAGACAGAAAGGTGGAAGAGAGAATAGAGCAGCAGGCGAGGGAAGAAAGTTGTGTAGGAGGACCAGCATGCTGAAACAGAATGAACAAGAGATTTGGAGAAACTGAGATACAGTTATCAAAAAAGGTTCATATCAAGAGGAGTCATAACTGTTCTCTGTTTAGCCTTTCACTTCCTCTGAATATCATTAGTTTGGCTTTTAGTACTAAAGGATAAAACCTCGGTGTGATTTTTGACTTTGATTTGTCCTTTAACTCCCACATTCAAAACATTCTTCCACCTGAACAAAATCACTAAAACTGGAAACATCTTGTCCCAAAACGATACAGAAAGGTTGGTACATGCTTTTTTTTGCTTCTAGACTGGATTCTGACGTCTAAAAAAACCCTTTAAAAAGTCTTGAGTTGACCCAAAGTGCTGCTTCTAGAGTTCTGATGAGCGTTAGAACAAGAGCTTTCTCCAGTTTTAGCTTCTCTCCTTTGGCTCCCTGTCAAATTCAGAACATAATTTAAAATCTTACTTCTAACAAACAAAGCTCTCAACAGCCAAGATCCATCTTTTATTAAATATCTAATTCTTCCATATTTTCCAAACAGAGCACTTCACTCTCTGACTGCAGGTTTACTTGTGGTTCCTAGTGTTTTCTAAAAGTAGCAGGGAGGCAGAGATTTCAGTTATCAGGATCCTCTTTTGTGGAACCAACTTCCAGTTTCTGACAATGTCTACTTCTAAGAACAAACTAAAGACTTTCCTTTTTGATAAATCCTAGAGTTAAGGTTGGCTTGGGTTTCCTGAGCTATCTGTTAGTTATGCTGTGATAGGCTTGACTGCTGGAGGACAAACTGACCATATTTGCTTACTTTGATGTTGTCTTTGCTCGCTCTGTTAACATGTTTATTTTTAGCTTTCTTCCTATAGAAACTAAACATAGACCGGCCATTCTGTGTCTGTCCATGTCTCGTTCCAGTCCTCTCAACCCCACAGCCAGTCAAAGTAGATGTCCATCCATCCTGAGCCCAGTTCTTCTGGAGGTTTCTTCAAGTAAAAGGAAGTTTTTCCTTTCCACTTTTGTCAAGCTGCTCAGGATGGGAGATTGCGACAAAATAAAGATTGACACAATTTGCATTAGATAGACAACTTTAACTATGGTAATTAGTATTTCATAATGTACCACATGTGAATGTGTAAGGATTTAATTGACTGTTTTTGAATTTCAGTCAGAACTTGTTTATTTTTCTTTTGTATGGTGACCTCTGTTATGAATTGATACTTTTTAAACAAAGTGAATAAAAATAAAAAAGAATGGGCACAATGAAGAAGTTGAGATTCTTCTTAGGAGAGACAAGGATGGATAAAGATAGAGAGGCCAGACCGAGATGTTTGGACATGTCCAGAGGAGGGACAGTGGGTATATTGGTAGAAGGATGTTAAAAATGCAGCTGCCAGTAAAAAGACAAAGAGGAAGGTCAAAGAGGAGATATATGGATGCAGTTAGAGAGGACATGAAGGTAGTTGGAGTGAGGACAGAGTGAGATGGAGGAGGACGACTTGCTGTGGCGACCCCCTGATGAGGGAAAAAGCCAAAAGAAGAAGAAGAAAAAAGAATGGCCACAATGTTCTACAAACACAATCTGAAGTTGAACTGAGGGAAAGCTCTTTCACATGCCTACGAATCAACAAATAAAACAGTTCTTCTGAAAGGACTCACAGAAAATACGACTGTATACCACCGTCTCGTACCTCACCACAACAGTTGTCATGGTTACAGAACTTCTCAACTACCTACAGAGGCATCAGATGCCCTGGTTGCTCTGCAGGGATCCAAGTGAAAGCAATTCACAATTCATCTGCTCCTGTCTCTGCAGCACCTCCGGCTATACACCTTCACTTACAAGGTAAGTAAATAATAATCACAACTAAAAACATAATCTGCAGTCGGTGGAGGACATAACAGAGTGCACACTAATAAGAATGAGAGGAGTGAAAGGACGGAGGCATGAAGGTCTTTAAGCTCACGGCGACAAAATATCAGCAACTATGAAACAAGTAAAATATAAACTCATCACCAAAAGGCATAAAGAAAAAGCACTGTTATTTGAATTTACGGCACACAGAATACGACTTCAGGTCTTCGAGTTAAAAAATTCAAGCCAACATGAATCACATAAACAGATTTCCACACAAAAACTTATCACGGTCTCAAAATTTGATAAGCTTTTGAGGAAAACAACTTTTCACAATCTTTTCAGACAAACTGATGCATATTTTGGTTTTACGAATGTTCGGATTAGGGTTGCAAAGAGGCAGAAAATTTAGGGTAAATTTCCTGAAACTTTCTAAAAACTTTCCATGGCATTCTTTGGAAAAGAACTGGATTTTGAGGGTGTTTAAAAACAAGCTGTATCGTGCATAAACAAAAATATAAACATTTTGTTTTGTTAGAGGCAATTGTGGGAACAGTTCCGCTAAACAACTAATCACGGAGCTAACGTTGCATGTAGCAGATTCACATTTTTGCTAACTTTAAAAACCTTTAGCAGAATTAGCTCTTGTTAAACTTAAATCCAGTAAATTCAAGTCTGCTATTTATTATTATTTAAATGATAGTACATTTTTACAGAGCTATGCCATGCATAGCAAAACTAAGCTAAGCACCACTCGGTGATGCATCATCACCCTCACCTTCCTTCTTTAGATAGATAACTTTAGTAATTGGAATTTATAATGTATGTGAATGTTTCTGTTCAGTGCCCAGAGATAACTTCTGTTGTGACTTGGAACTATATCCTGAATTAAACTGAACTGAACTTTACATGTAACTATTTATATCTGTCCCTACAAGTCCAGGTGACATCATTTATATTTTTTAGGATGTGGTACCATTCATTGTAGGGATGCAAGACATAGGATTTTTGGTCGATATCCGATATGCTAAAACTTATTTGGCCAATAACTGATACCCATATCGATATTTTTCCCTAGATCTTACAGAGACTACATAGCTTTCTCTGCTGTGGAATTAAAATACTACATTATTCTGCATGGTCTTTGTCACTTTGGTTTGCTACCAAATGCAGATGTCAAAAAGGGGGCTGAAAATGATGTAACACTATATAAATATATAATCTATACAAAAAAAGCAACGCCTTTTATATGCGAGTTATTTTGATGGAATGGCTGATGTCTGATATTTAACTTTATCGCTAATATCGGCCGATGCCGATACCATGCCGATAATATCGTACATCCCTAATTCATTGTATAGTAAAGCAGTAAAATCTTGTTATTTTAGTTTGGAATATGCTAAAATATTTTCTCCACGACTTCATTTTAAATTCCCTGTTAAAGGCCAACCTTTAATATTTTAAATTCCAGGTTTATTCTCATAAACTCCCATAAAATGTTCCCAACTTTCCTGTAAACTTCCAGTAAATTTGCAACCCTGGTCATTTGCAGGTATTTCTCTACTAAAACAGACATTTAAGAAATACAAGAAATTGGATTAAAATGTGGTTCAAACCTCAGACAATGCTTTGTCTGTGTGTCTCTGCATGATGTCCTGTGGTCTTTTTAGTCATTTGTTAGAGAATCAGTGGAACATGATGCTCGGCTGTCCTTACCGCTGCTCAGCACGGTGACACGTGGAGTCACATCCAGGTCCGGGGGCGTTCTGAATGGGAAGCCCACCACGGCTGCACATAAGCAGCTCAGCAGCAGGAGCATCGACGCCATGGACAAAGCTCTCTCACTCTCCATTATAGGCGCCTTCTCAGAAAAAAAAACACTCTCCTACAAGGAGGTTTGTGCACACAAACACATCCACCTGTAAATATTCACCAGAAGACACCTCTTCGAACAGACACACACCTCTGCAGGCTATGCAGCAAGGAGGAGGGAAGAAACCTGAAAAAATAAAACACACACAAAACACACAGAGTCAATAGTCTACAACCGACGAAGATTGCAGTTGACAACGATAAAAAGTTGGAGTTCAAACCCAATAAACTAGCTGATGTGAAGGACTTCACAGACGTAAACAAAGTGCATTTGATTAATAAAACATCACATCAGGCTTTTTGTCTCTGAGAGAGGAGTGGGTGAGCAGCAACTGCCAAGTCTGAAAATATCATTAACAAGAAGACTGTCAAACAGAGCAGCGGACTGATTTCAGCAGCGTGGAGCAGTTTGCATCGATGCACCGGTTCAAACGGATCTCGTACCTGAAAGAAGCAGAACACACGAGTGGAAGGATGGAGAGATATGATCGTCTTCACCGTGTGTGTATATGTGTGTGTGTGTTGAGATGTGAATGCCAATGTTCTCCTGCAGAGTAAGACCCTCTTCTAGAGGAGTGAAAGGAAGTATGAGTGTTCTCAGTCACATACACACACATCCTGAAGCATTACCAAGTCTGTTCAATTTGAGCTGCAGTAGTGGGGGATATCTCTCTTTTGTATACTGTCTTTTCTCTATCACACATACACTTGCACGTGTACACACACACACATAGCAGCTCTGAATGTAAACAATCACTGTCTCCTTAACTCATTCCATCAAACAAAATGAGTCTCCAGAAGCCTTTATGAGCCGAACCTCCTTGGTGCTCACATCTTTCACACGAACACACATTCATGCACAGGAGAAATCTTTTTCCTTCCCACCCAACAACGCAACAAAACTCATCCTGAAAGGTGAAGCAGTAATGCACCCTCATCCAGACTCTCAGTACTCCCTCAAGGCTGACACCATGACAACGGCCGGCTTTAACATTGCATAATGCCGCGGCGGACAAACACGCAGGTAAGCATTCAGATTCAGTGACTGTGATGCTGACATATTCTGTCACACACACAGAGCTGAAGAGAACTCTCTGAACAAAAGAAGTCATATAATTATGGGATCTATACCTGTGAAAGCACACAAGCAGAACTATGCTGCCTTTGGTTCAGTTCTACTCTTCAAATTCAAGAAAAGCTGGAGAGAAACAGCTGTTTGACATAAATCATCTGAGATTAAATCTGAAAATATGATGTAAAACTGCTTGATACTGGTCACTTAAAAAGCTAAGGGGCTCTGACTAAATGTTACTGGGACTGACGTACATCTGTCAGTGTCTGATTTTGCCAAAAAACACATTTGGACACTAGCCTGATGCATTCCCCACCCCTAATTAATTTATGATTTAGAAAAGGTGAACAAAATGAAGGTTTTATGCAGGGTTTTCCAGAAACTTGATGGAAAAAGTTAAGGACGCTGATATCATTTGAAAGAAAAAAAATAATTCTAAAATGTAAGGAAACCTTTTCAGGCAAACCAAGTGAAACAAGTGAAAAACTGCAACATCTGAAAGGACTATACTTAAACCAAAACTTCTGTCAACATATCAACCAGAGGATTGCCAGGAGGCATTTTAGGGAAAATACTTCCAATTACACAGCAATTATAGCCCATTTTACAACACTTGAATATTTTTCTTTTATTTCTATCATGTTAATTGCAAAATGCCATTTTTACATGGCTTCTCTGTATTTTTAACTTAAGAGGTTATCGGGGGAAAAAACAGAAACAAAGAAATAAAGGGTTTAAATACAGTATGATGCTCATGCATCACACACCAACACAGTTCCAAAAATGATACAGAAAGATTGGTCCATGCCTTTGTTACTTCTAGACTGGACTCTTGTTATTCTTTATTATCAGGTATCCAAAAAAATCTCTAAAAAGTCTTGAGTTGACCCAAAATGCTGCTGCTAGATTCCCGATGAGAGTTAGAACGAGAGATTTCTCCAGTTTTCTCTCGCTTTCTCTCGGGAATATTCTCTCCATTGGCTCCCTGTCAATTCAGAACAGAATTTAAAATCTCACAAACAAAGCACTCAACATCCAAGCTCCACCTTTTATTAAAGATCTAATATTTTCCAAACAGAGCACTTCACTCTCAGACTGCAGGTTTACTTGTGGTTCCTAGTGTTTCTAAAAGTAGCAGCGAGGCAGAGATTTCGGTTATCAGGCTCCTCTTTTGTGGAACCAATTTCCAGTTTGTCCATTTTCTGTAAGTGAGACTGTCAATGGCTATTTCTGACAAAAGACTTTCATTTTTAATAAATCCTACAGTTAAGGTTGGCTTGGGCTTCCAGAGCTATAGGCTTAAACTGCTGGAGGACAAACTGACCATGATTCCTTTGAAATGCACAGAACATTTAGGAATGTTCAATTGTTGTTTAATTTGTGCTATAATGCATTTATTTATCACAGTGTGAAGCCAACTGTCCAAATATTTGTCATTATATAAAAATAAAAATCAGTAGAATCTGTAATAACTTGCCTTTGCATTCAGTTTTTGAGTCAGTTTCTCTCTTTTTTTTTTCTTGTCCCTGCTTATGTTTTTATTTTTAATTTTTTGGATTTGCAATTTCTTGTCTGTTTTGATTTTTTTTAAGTAAAATTTTTGGTTTGTGGTTTATTTGCAAAAGCATAAAAAAAGATAACAAAAACATGAAAAAGATTCATACCCAACAACGGATTCTTCATGCCCTCAGGTGTTGTTTCAAACTTAAGCTACAAAAGCTGGACTCTTTCTGATGGCTATTTTATTGATTTTTTACTTTGACTTAAAAAAAAAATCTGTGTAGTATATTTCTGATCAAAATGACTTTTCTTTAGTACTGATGTTAAATTAGTGTTGATGACGTTAAAATTTACAAGACATTGATTCTTTATTTGACATTTTCTGTTTGGAGGTTAGAAAAATAAAACCTCTCAGTACAAACAACTACAAACAAAAGCAGCAAACTCAAGGTTAAAATGCTTTAGTAAAGTCAGAGAAATGTAATAGTCTCATTTTTTGTATTATTTTGTTCCATCAAGTCAATTAATTTTGACCCAGTCTGAGCTCCTTGGATCTCCTGATTCCAGAAAATTGAAATAATTGTCAGCTAAGCAATAAGTCAAAACTTCAACATTAATTCACAGAAATGCATTAGAGTGTATTTATGAACCTGGCTGAATGGAGAAGGGCGTGCAAAGCGGTGACGGCTCCATTAACAGACAACACTTCTCCTAAAAGACTTAAAATGTCTTGAGCTGTATGAATGAACAGAAAAGACAAATGGAAGAAAAGGTCACAGTGAAACCTATTCAGTTGTGCTTCAATTCAATAATCCACTGGTTTAAAATGGTTTTCTTACAGACAGAAATGAAGTGAATGCAGCTAAACTGAAGTTTTTTGTTCATAAGAGACTGTTGTGAATGAAACACTGCACTCTTTACATCCCCAGCACTAAAGATATTCTGACAATAAAACACAAAATGTGTGCAGTCAGTGTGTCATGGCATGTTCGCAAACATTTGTAAATCTGAAGCCTATTTTCTGCTAAAAGCAAGTCTAATTCTGTGAATATTTTTATTTTAAGGTCTAAATTTATAATTTTTGAACATCATCCTTTACAAACTGGACTTTCCATAGTTTAGAGGGAAAAAAAATCTAATTTAAATTTATTTTCAGTAACTAAAATTTCAGCTGTCCTCCACAGAGTTTCACTATCTGAGCAGCAAATAAAAATCTCAGTCCTCAAAACATCTGGTTTGGTGTCAAAATGTTTTTCTGTCACTGCTTGATGCAAGATTTCAGCTGCTCGAAGGTTCAGGGACTCTCATCAGATTATCTGAGCTAAATGTTTTCCAAGTGAGTCAGGTCCGGTTGAGCACCTGGGTTGCATTTGTAATGACGTTTGACAATTTATTGCTGAAAATGTTAAAGCTTCGAAGCAGCGTCATTTGTTTTGTTTTTTTATGAATACCGTTAGTTGTGTTTTAAAACACCTTCTTGTATTTATTAGCATTTTTTAATTTATTTATATATTTATGTACATACCTTCTGAGAACTGGATGTCTTTTAAAATGTTACTCCAAGAACTGACAACGCACCCTAAGAAAAAGAACAAGTTCACTCTTTGGGCTAGGCCCAGCTACGTGACCCACCCAGACTTCTCCCCCAACAATTAGACCAAGTTACTTAGTTCAGTCCAGGCTTCTCTACCAGCAGCTGGGCCCAGCTTAGTTCAGTCCAGGCTTCTCTACCAGCAGCTGGGCCCAGCTACCTGGCCTAGCCCAGGCTTCTCCCCAACAGCTAGGCCCAGCTTAATCCAGTCCAGGCTTCTTCACCAGCTACTAGAACTAGCTACCTGGCTCTGTTCAAGAATTTACACCAGCAGCCAAACTCAGTTGGGCTTCTCCACCAACCGCAGGCTCCTCTGCCTGTCACAAGTACCAGCAGTGTTGCCAGAGTGGGCGGTTTTCATTCTGATTTTGTGGGTAAAATTTGCTTTGGGCGGGTGGGAATAATTTGGGCTGATTGGGAGTCAGATCGGCGGTTTTTGAGTTAACCTATTAAATACATTTCAAACAATCATTCCTCATTACTGGTTCAAAGGTCCCCTGACCTTTCTCTATCACTGATTGGCTATTGTCATCTGCCAGGGCGTTCACAACAGAGAACTGGTGAGGCAGTTAGTGGACACCTCGTTGTGTGGGCTGGCCCGTTGTGTGGGCTGGCCCGCTGCGGCGCGTCGGAGCGGCCGCCATATTGAATGTGGCAGAACTGCCGGTCAACTAATAACGGAAATGCACTGAATTTCATAAAGCACCGTTCTGCAAAGTGTTTTATGTTAATGCCTGTCATTCACACACACTAATATATGTAGAAAACGAACAGGCACCAAAGACAACATTTATAACTTTTAAAGTGATTATTAAAAATGTTTACTCCTAAAATATTTAGGTTAAAGGTAAGCACTAAACCAACATACATATTCTTTTGAGTGTTTACAATTACTAATGTGTGTAACACTATTACTGTGGTGATAAATATAGAAATATTC